TCTCTTCTTAAAAAAAAAAAAGGAATCTAGACAAAAGAAAAGAACAGAGCATGGTACTCACATAAAAAACAGGCACATAGAGAGCCTAGGCAGAAATCCATGCATTTTCAGTCAAATGGTCTTCAACAAAGCTGCCAAAAACACATAATAGGGAAAGGATGGTATCTTCATAAATGAACTTAAATCTACCATTTTGGTTTTTGTTTCTGTTTTACCTCTTGGTTTCTGTAGTTATTTTTCATGCCTTTCTGTGGTTTACTGTTCTTTTGTTTTAGAATTCCATGTTGATCTATCAATAATATTTTGAGTATACCTCTGTATTGTTGTGTATATGTGTGGTTGGTTTTCCAGATATTACATTATAGATACATAGATAGATAGAAATAGATAGATAGAGTCTACTGTTGTCAAAATTTTATCAGTTTGAGAGAAGGGTAGAAACCTTCGTTTACAAGTCTTTACCCTCCCCCACTTGTATATAATTTTCTTAAATATTTCCAAACCATACTATTCACATTAGACCGTGCTATTATTTTGGCCTCAGCCATTAAACATAACTTAGAAAATTCAAAAAGAGAATGAAAATATAATATAGTTGCCCACATTTTTGTTTGCTGAGTTCTTTCTTGCTTCTTGATGTTTCAAGGTCCTCCTTTACCATTTAATCTCTGTTTAGAGAACTTTCTTTAGCCGTTTCCATAGGGTAGGTCTTCTGGCAACAAGTTATCTTAGTCTTCATTTTAGAGTGTCTTTATTTCCCCTTCATTTCTGAATTTATTTTACTGAATATGTGATTCTGGGTTGAGAGTTTATTCCTTTTCAGCCCTTGAAAAATATCAGGCATTCTCCTTTCTAGTCTTGTGGCTTCTGATGAGAAAGCCACTATCATCAGATTGTTTTTCACCTATAGGTAAGGTGTCATTTCCTTCTTGCTGTTTTCAAGAATTTGTCTTTGTCTCTAGTTTTTAGACATTTGATTCTGGTGTGTATTTGTAGCAATTTGGGGATTTGCTCAACTAATGGAATGTGCAGTTTGTACTTTTTGCAAAATGTGGAATGTTTTAGCCATTGATTCTATGACTGCCTTTTTGACCCCTCATCTTGGTCCTCTTTTTCTGGTATCTTAATACCATTAATGTTAGCTCTTTTATCATAATCCCACAGGCCCTATTCCTTTTTTGTTTTGTATTGTTTTGTTTTGTAGTCAATTTTCTCTCTATTGTTCAAACTGGGTGATTTTATTTCATTTCTTTATTCTTTTTTTTTTTTTTCCTTTTTAGTGGCCACAGAGTGTATGCACTCTCCACAGAGAGTATTGGGGGAGGAAACACCCCCAAATATGTTATGATCATGCTGCAATCCCTTCTCTATCACACACACACCTGACATGTTTTTCAAGCCTCTGAGGCTGATTTGAACCATGGTTGGCTATGTGGGATCTGGTTCCCTTAATCATTAGTCTATGGAGCTGGACCCAGACTGGGTAAGTTCTATTCTTCTATCTTACAGTTCACTGATTTTTTTCTTTAGTCCCCCTATTCTTTTGCTATATTTTCTAGCTCTTTAATTTCCATTTAGTTTTGTATATCTTTCATTAGTTTGGTAAGAATTTCTGTTTTGTTGCTAAGACATTGTATTTTTTCACTTATCTAGAGAGTATGCTTATGGGGCTGGAAGGTGGCATGGTGGTTAAGGGCACTGAACTCCCACATGGCTGGCCATGGTTTGAGTCCTGGACCTGGTGGCTTGCTTTCTCACTTTTTCTCTCTCTCTCTCCCTCTCTGATCAAACTAATTTCTGTTTTGTTGCTAAGACATTGTATTTTTTCACTTATCTAAAGAGTTTGCTTTCTCACTTTTTCTCTCTCTCTCTCCCTCTCTGATCAAACTAAAATAAATAAAGTTGAATAAAATAATTCTTTTTTTAAAGTATGCTTAATTCATTGAAGTATTTGAAATATTTTTAATTTTATTATTTATTTCTTAAAAGTGAAATATTGAGCAAGAAAGAAAGAGGAGAGGGAAGAGAGGTACCCTCATAGCAATGTCCCTACTGGCTGTGATCCTTCCCAGCCAGCCAGAATTATGGTAGTGAGTGTGTGTAAGTGCCTGGCATGGACAGGTTGATCCAGAAACCAAACCTTCACTCTTCCATATGGTCTCAGCATTGTGGAGTGGTGCAGTGGTAGTGCATTACTGTGGTTGGCCCCAGTGAACCATATTATAATAGTTTATTTTAAGCTCTTGTTGTTGGTATCTATTGATGTTCATTCTTTCATTCAGTTTGAGATCTTTCGGGTTCATGGTGTAACCGGTGATTTTTCTATTGAAACCTAAGCATTTTGGATATTACGTTACAGGATTCTAGATCTTATTTAAACCTTGTTTCAGTGTGTTTCTCATGATACACCCCCAGCAGGGGGAAAGAGGAGAAATCCAGGTTCTGTTTCTGCCTCTTTTGATACCAGGGGCAAGAGGCACCTCATGAATATCGGGCAAGGTGGGAATTCTGGTCCCTGTCAGGCCTCTGCTGACACCTCCCTGGCTCAGAGAGTAGCACTGCTTTGTTCCTACTCCCTGCGTATCCGCCACTGACACCAGCAGGTGAACTGCATAGACATCCATGTCCTCGTGTGTATGTCCTTTGCCTAGAAATGTTGCAACAAACCTGGGGCATCTTCAGAGGCTGTCAGGACTCTCTTTTCCACCTTCCCCTAGTGCCTGGGCTGAAAGGCAGGCCCACTTTGAACATAAGGACACAAGTAAGCTTCCTGGACAGGCATAACCTGAGGGTCCTTAGAGCTTCTGACTGCCCTTCAGAGATGCTAAAAGAGCTGGAAGCCTGGTCTGTATCTCTGCAAACTGCACTCTGACAGGCAGCCAGACAGATGTGGCCATCTGGCCACCCCAGGGAAGGAGTCGTGCCTTCCCATCAGCTTCCCATTGCCAACAGCCAGCTCTTCTCTCCTTCTTCCCAAAACCTGCTCTTGGGAAAGCATTTCAGTGGTAGAGACTGAAGTAGGGGAGTTTCAGCCCCAGCTGCATCTTGTACTAGTTCTGTGGTTTGAACAATCCATACCTTAATCTCCTCACTGCAGTCCCGTGACAATACTTGGAAAAGCTGCAAACAAAAATTCATGGCTGTAGGTGCTGTTCAGCCTCAGGGCATGTGCACGTCTGTCTGTGGCACTGGGGCTCTCTAGGGAAGAATGTTTTAAGTACACAGGGATTCCATCTAGACATGGGGACAATCTCCCCAATTTCTCTTCAGCCTGAATTAGAGAGCAAAAACTTTTGAAAACCTGGGGAGTGTCACAAGTAATGTAGCATGCCAAGTCTAGTTTTTCCCTGCCTAAGAGCTGAGGCTGTTTCATTCCCCTCCCTCTAAAAGTGCCAGCATAAGGCAGTGGGTCCCCGTGCTGAGTCTGGACCTCAGTGCATGATGTGCACCAGAGCAACCGGAGTCTTTAAAGACAGTACAAACCGTAACCTAGCCTGTCCCTGCCCAGGGGAGGGAAGTGCCAAGACGTGGACCACATTCTGCAGGCCCCTCTGCCACAGGAGATGTCAGGAGAGGCACACGTGAGAACGGAGAGTACAGGCTGAGGGTCCCCATCTCAGCTCGTGTCATACTGCAGTCCAGCCGGACCTACAGGCAGATGTCACCACAAGGCTATTAGAATGGCTAGACTCAAAAAGACTGGCCTTAAAAGTGTTGATGAGGGCATGAAGAAAATCAAAAACTCTGTATACTGCTGACAGAACTGTAAAATAACATAACCAGTTTGTAGGTGTTTTTGACAGTTTCTTAAAAAGCTCAAGGAATGCCTACCAGATGATCCAACTATTCCACTCCTAGGTATTTATCTACAAAAAAGGAAAGCATGCTTCTACACGAAAAAGCGTGCATAAATGTTTATAGTGGCTTCATTCATCATAACCCCAAACCGGAAACAACCCAGTGTTCTTCAATGCATGATCCAAGAAACAAATGGTTTATTCTTAAAGTGGAATACTATTTAATGATGAAAAGAAATGAACTGTTAAGTATCACTGCACTCAACACCATGGATATTGCTTTTAAAATATTGAATAAAAGAAATCAGAAAGCAGGGGGAGCAGCAGGTGGAGTGATGGTTAAGGCACTGGACTTCCACATGGCCAACCACGGTTAGAGCCCTAGACCTAGTGGCTTGAAAATCACACTGGGTGCATGTGCAAGTGTGCCCAAAACCCTGAGAGAAGAATGGAGAAGAAGGAATTGTGGCATGGCTACTCCCCACCCTCCAGAGGATGTTTTCTCACTTTCCCTCTCTATCTCTCTCGTGAGCACATGTGCCCTATGGCAAACACATAAAGAAAAAAAATCAGGCAAAAAGGAATATAGGGACTGCAGGGGGGGATGCTCTCACTTCTGTGAACATGTGCTGATGGTACTAGGTGTGTCTATGTAGTGAGACCTATCAAACTGTAGACTTTAAGGCCTAACTGTCGTGGTACAAGCAGGGGTGCCCACTGTGCCATCACTAATAACTTTTCAAAGACCATGAAAACACACACACATCCAGGGGCAGAGTGCTCCTCAGTCATGCAGCTGCTCTGATGTGATCTCAGTGCCTACCCACCTGACCAGCCTCTGCCCCTCTGGGCATGCCACTCTCTGCTCTCCTTCACCTGCTTGCTCAGGCCTCACTGGCTTTTTTCTGTTGTGCCACGGGCCCTGGTGCAAGTTGGGACCCCACCCACACCCCCTAAGTGCAGCCCTGATGTATTCAGAGGTGCCTTGGGGGCAGGACAGTGGGTGTGGGCTATGGTACAGGCTCAGCCAACCCATAGGGACCCGGACAGGACAGTCTCTGCACCTGAAGCCTTTGCTCGCCAAGCTTCCAGCCTCCAGGGTGCATGTCCTTCCTTGGTGGATCTGCACCTCTGGGCCTTCACACCGACTGTCCCACTGTGTAGCCCCTGGGTCTCCTAACTGAGCAACTCTGTCATCCACAGAGAGCCATCAGAGGACTGTTGGGCTGCCAGTCTGCCTTCCTTGCCCCACACTGGTCCTGCCTGTCTCCTATGTGTCTTCCCTGAGCACCTCCCACCTGAGCACCTTTGTCCCTGTGTGCTCCGTGGCCATCTCCACGAAGGCGCCGGGATCATGTTCAGCTCACAACCACTATGTGAGTTGGAGAATTCTGGGGAGAGGCAGTCACAGTAGAAAGCCCCATGAGGGAGGGAAGAGTCACTAAGGGAAGGAGGATGGTCTAGTCTGGTGCTGGGGACTCCCAGTGCCAAGGCCCTACAGAGCGTCTCTGGGGAGAAGGAGCATTGGGGGTGTTGATCCTCGCAGCCTGTGGTGGTTGAAGGATCAAGGGTTTTACTCTCTGAGAAAACAGGAAGACAGTAAAGAGGGTTTTTTTTTTTTTTTGGAGAGGTTTTCGCTATAGGGCGCATGCGCTCGCCAGACAGAGAGAGAGAGACAGAAAGCGAGAAATCACCCCCCAGGGGGGATGGTCACGCCACAATCCCTTCTCCTCCATTCTCCTCTCGGGATCTTGGGCACACACGCACACGTACCCGGCGTGAGTTTTAAGCCACTGGGTCCGGGACGTGAACCACAGTCGACTACGTGGGAGTCCAGCAACATAGCCATTACGCTAACTGCTGGTTCCCTGAGGGTTTCATTTTTTTGAGCAAAAGCAAGACCAGGTCAGTCTCTAGCCAACATGGGAGTGGGGTAGGGAAGGGCAGGAGGCTATGGTGTGGTGAGGGCAAAAGTTCTGGACTGGGATCCATGTTGCAGCTGGAGCTGTTGGGATTTGGTGATGAACAGATGGGGAGAAAGGTTGGCAGGAGCCCTGAGACAGACACATCAAATGTGGGGTTTGTCAGGAAACTGTGCTGCTGTGGCCATGGGCTGCTGCCCGGGAGGCAGTCAGAGCATGCTCCAGGCTAGGTACCTTCATGGATGATTTCTACACAAGGCGGCATGCATGCATGCATTTGTATGTTTGTCTTTTTTTTTTCCCCAGATGGTGCATGCATGTGCTGGAGAGAGACAGAGAAAGAGAGAGATAGGGAAATTGAGAAAGCAATCCCCTCCCCAAGGGCATAGTCACACCGTAATCCCTTCTCCATTTCTTCCTTCTTTGGGGATTTTGAGCATACACACACATTCATCTGGTATGTTTTCCAAGACACCAGGTCCTAGACCTGGTAGTTAGGTGGGATCCAGCCACCTAACTACCAGGCTGTGAACTGGCCACATGGTAGCAGTTAAACCATGGGCCAGACAGGCTCACAGGGCAGTTGCAGATGTGGGTTAGGGAGGCACAGAGGCCCCAGCCCCTGCAGAAGGACCAAGCCTGTGTCTCCTCTCCCTCCCATGTTTTCCAAGGCACCAGGTCCTAGACCTGGTAGTTAGGTGGGATCCAGCCACCTAACTACCAGGCTGTGAACTGGCCACATGGTAGCAGTTAAACCATGGGCCAGACAGGCTCACAGGGCAGTTGCAGATGTGGGTTAGGGAGGCACAGAGGCCCCAGCCCCTGCAGAAGGACCAAGCCTGTGTCTCCTCTCCCTCCCATTAAATGAGTTTAACATATATAAAACTCAGAGAAGAGAACAGAGAGCGGGCACCACAATGCATGAGGGAGCTCTGCCAACTCGAGAACACCAAGTTTCAGGGAGGGTGACAGAGGAGGCTTTATCCTGAGGAGAGCTGTAGCTGCTGTATCCTGTGGGTTCCTTTGGGTGAGCCACTGTAACTCTTTATCCCTGTGGCCTTGCACTGCCCATGGGGTCCTTGGACGGGCATGTAACTGGGCAGAAGCAGAAATGGCCTCAGAGGTGGGATCCAGCCAAGGGGGCGTGTAGGTGCCCTGGGGACTGCCAGGGACAGCCAGAGGGCAGGCCGAGGCTCTGTCCACCCTGCACCTGCCACTCTGGGAGCTGTGCTAGGGCCAAGTAGGTTCATTGGGGTCAAGGGCTTTGAGACACAGGTGACCCTGACCATCCCACAGGACCACTCCTTACCCAGCCAGTTGACGGCTGCCTCTGCCCTGGTGAGGAGAGGAAGCACCGGCCTGTGTGGCTGATCGCTGCTGACAGCCCATAGCCAGGAGCCCGCAGGAGCTGACCCACTTTCTCCTCCTGCCGGAACACTTACATAACAGCCGCCACAGGGCCCTGCCGCCCCCACCAGAAGCTGCTGTAATTAAAAAGGGAGTGCACAGCCCAGCCCAGACCCACATGACCTGATGCATCAGCACTGCGCAGCAGCCTTCGCCGCACAAGGCTGGGGGCTCTGAGGGAGCTTCCCGGTGCGTGGCAAGGACTCCACAGTTGCAAAGGCTATGCACAGGGCACTGCGCAGTCACTTGAGCTGCACACTCTCCTCTCCTTACCGAGGCCTTTCCCCAGACCGCCCAATGTAGCAGAGCAGACATGCTGCCTGTGCTGTCTTGCAGTAGCAGAAATGCCTCAATCTGTGCTCTTCCATGCAGCCACCAGCACACCAGGCTATTCACTGAGCTCCTAAGTGTGGTCACAGAATTTGCAGTCTGAAGTGTGCCCCATGGCTGGTGGCTACCATGTTGTACAATGACAATGGAGCGTGTTAACATGTTAGGGTGTTGAGGTTCTCTGTGGCATGAAGTCCTTGTTAAACACTACGTTACAATGCCATGTGAGGGTCAGCTGTGATGGTGCATGTGACTACGATGCTGCTAGTCGGAGCCTGAGGCCACAGGGGAGCCCTGGGTCGAGTTCCTGGCCCACACTAGGCAGGCAGAGGTATTGGAGGATGCCTGTGGCTCTGGCTAACTAGGAGGCTAGGTACAAGAATCCCTGTGTGGCAGGATCCTGTCAAAAATCAGCATCTCCTCTCTCACTCATACACTTTTGGGGAGAACGCTATGTTAAATCTTTGTTATTCAGAAAGTGTCATTTTATTACAAATAATCATTAGTACTAACTATTAGGTTGTCGGGAAACGCATGACCTATTTTTCTATGTTTTTAATGCAAAGATGTGTCGTGACTTTCCCAACAGCCCAATAATTTGACTTTATTGGTGAAGTTACCCGTAAATACATTTTTAGCAATGAGAGTGTGTAAAAGCTGTTACTCTGTTAATGCACAAATGCATTAGTAGCTGCCACTTTCATACACCCTTGGCCACCAATGACTGCTCTTTGCAGATATGTCTCCTTGCACACGTCACGTAGGTCACTGGAATATGCTTTGTTTCTGTGCTATATTTTGTGTTTTCCTTTTAGCATATTTTTCAGCAGAAATATTTTGACAAGGAATTTTTTCCCCCAACTTTTAATACATATGTCTCCTTTGTGTAGCTTAAGCCTCTCCTCTGTGCAGATTAAGCCACTGGGCCACATCCAGGCAGTCTGATTACACACTTTGCTCCTGAAGGATCTCTTTAGCAACCACACACGGGGCAGTGTGTTGACCCATTGAGGACAGAGCATGGGACAGTAGGCTAGAGGCTCCGGCAGCACCACCCTCAGGGCTTCCAGACTGCCTCCTCCATCAGCCCAGCAGCTCCACTTACCTCTCAGGTGTACACCTGAGCAGGTGTGTACGCAGTTGGAGGCTTATTGTACTCTGTGCCCTGTGGTCTGCCCTAATACCACATCCTGGCCCTCACATGGCACCATGGGGCCTGGACCCATACTGCATCCCATCCATGCCCCTCCAGGTCAGCCCCTCCTCTGCCCAAGAAGGGGCACTTTGCTCTCTGTTTCTTCCTGTTGCCCTCTCCATGACAGTGGTCATCAGATCCTCTCATGTTTATATTCTGTCCTTTCTGTCCCTGGGAAAGCCCCACTGCCCCACCCCTGCACGCCCAGGCTGGTGCTTCTCCAGGCCATTGGTGCACCAGAAGGGCAGCACCACCCTTAGGGCTTCCAGACTGCCTCCTCGATCAGCCCAGCAGCTCCACTTACCTCTCAGGTGTACACCTGAGCAGGTGTGTACGCAGTTGGAGGCTTATTGTACTCTGTGCCCTGTGGTCTGCCCTAATACCACATCCTGGCCCTCACATGGCACCATGGGGCCTGGACCCATACTGCATCCCATCCATGCCCCTCCAGGTCAGCCCCTCCTCTGCCCAAGAAGGGGCACTTTGCTCTCTGTTTCTTCCTGTTGCCCTCTCCATGACAGTGGTCATCAGATCCTCTCATGTTTATATTCTGTCCTTTCTGTCCCTGGGAAAGCCCCACTGCCCCACCCCTGCACGCCCAGGCTGGTGCTTCTCCAGGCCATTGGTGCACCAGAAAACTCCCCCAGCCCTACACTGCCTGGTGATTCCTGCCACCCTGACACGTGTACCCCAAAGTTTTGATCCCCCCTCCCTGTTCTGAGAACCCTTGCCTGACCTCACTCTACTCCCCTCTCCACTTTGCTTTGGCCTCATCTGCCTTTGCCTTAGCCTCTAATCCTTTCCGGGGTATTCATATGACTCTATCCAAGGGCACAGCCCCGGGTGACTACACCATACCACCAGCTCCCCCAGGAGCAGGGGCTGGCACAGGAGCTCCCCTGCAGAGCTTGGTGCAGGGGCCCAGAAATGGGAGCCACTTGTGCAGGAGCCTCATGGTCTGTAGAACCAAGTATAGTCAGCCAGGGACCCCACGCTGCTAGTACAGTTGGCATTTCACTTTCTTATGAGTCCTTCTGTTCCACCATCCGTAGTCATGCTTGGTCTGTATATCATAAATAAATCCTTAATGTTGCCTGTGGGATAAGCATGAATGATTACCCACAGAAGTTACATAACACACACAGGCCAGCATTATGTGTGTGGAGAGCGTTTTCTGAAAACCTTCTACAGGAACACAGCTGTTGGGCAGTTTAGCTGACAGTCCGAATCCACAATAATGAGTGAAGGTTAACTAGGACATCAAGGGACACCAACTCTGTACTTCCTGGCTCTTTAAGGGAGAATCCTGGCACCCGAGGGGCTGCTCGCCCATGAGATAGGAAGGTAAGAAGAACCAAAGTAGCAGGAAGAGCCAAGGTTCCTGTCCCTACACCCATACCCCCAGGACTTTGTAGGGGCAACTTTTGTCACTCCCTAGCTTTCTATGACCATTTTACAGATGTGGAAACTGAGGCCAGAGGGCCTGAGAGAAGTGTGCAGGGTCCTGTGGTCAGTTAGTGGTGGGCCTGGGAACTAGCCCAGCCAGGCCTTCCCCAAGACTCTCCTTTGATCCGCTGGCACCTCTGACCTCCAGCAGGTGAGGCCTGGTCAGCACATGGTGGTCAAAGCAACACTGCTTCACTCCCTGAGGAGGCTGGGGTCCTTGCTGGTCAAGATGTCCCTGGCTGCGTGTATTGGATGTGAAGACCATGCTCAGTGAGCAGCAGCTGTGCCTTCTCTTTCCAGGTGACGCCATCTGGGCCCCATCCGTCCTTCCTCACAGCACCCTCAGCTCCTTAAGCCACCACCCCCAGCCTCATTTTGGGAGAAAGATGGAGTCCAAGGTCTCAGAAGGTGGCCTGAATGTGACACTGACGATCCGCCTGCTGATGCATGGAAAGGTACAGAAAGAAGGCAGCTGCCTTGGCTGCTGCTGGAGAAAGTCAGAGCGAAAGGGGGTTCACACCTACCACTGGCATCTTCGCTGTGTGTATGTGTGTTTGATTTTAAGTGATCTCAAATTTCCAAAGCACTTGCAAGTGCTTTGCATATAGTCTGAGCTACGTGGTTCCCAGCGCCATCTACAGCACAGTGGCCCTAATGCCCTATCACCGATCACCATGGTGTGTTTCCCGCAGACGGGCACACTCTCCTGTACAACCACGGTACCCATTGGGCAGGCAGTGAGTGCCGCTGCATTTCCCCACCTGATCTTGGGCCCTCCAGCCTTGCCTGTCCCCAGTGCATCCTGGCAGAGGCTGCTCCGGGCAAGTCCTTGTCACTCCTGTCTCCCCGTCTTTGCTTTCACCCTGGGAGGTTCCTATGCCATGTGTTGTGAATGCCCCTCACTTCCTTTGTCTGATGTGTCCTTGCCACTGGCAGGAACATGGCAGCAGTAGATCTCAGTGCACCCTTGTCCTGTTGGGTTCGTGTTGCTGCCATTGTACCGTCCTCAGAAGGTGGGTGGAGGGTCCTGGGGCTGTGCGAAATCCCATTAGTGCACTCATTCATTCATTCATCATATGGTTCTTGAATCGGCATTTGGCCTTTCACTGGGTGGCTGTTATTCCCCACAGTTCTCATAATCTGATGCACATACTGACCCTGATTTATGCTGGAGGATGAGTGCACATGCACGAGAGAGAACGAGAGAGAGAAAGAGGAAGCACCCCTCAACGGGCCTGGTCATATCGTAATCCTGCAGTTCTCCATCCTGTCAGGATCCTGGGAAGGTGTCCAGCGTGAGATTCAAATCCCACTTGGCTGTGTAGCATCCTGCTTCTTCTGCACAACAACTAATGTGCTGTGGGGCTGGCCTTCAGTCCTCCAGACACGTCCCCACCGTTCTTGCACACTATCTCACTTTGTGACACCAAGGCTGCTCATCACCTCTCTTGTCCTCTTGCTGCCCCCGTCCTGGAACCTGCCATTTCTCCAAGGATCCCTGGCCCCTCTGTGGGAATGCTGGGATTTAGGAGCCAAAACAGGGCACTAGGAGCATCTTTGGTCCTGGTCTCTTTATAGCCCCGGTTCTATACAGAGCCAGGGACTCTTCACGTACTGGAACATGTATTTATGGCAGTCTTGTTTCTGCACTGAATAATGCAGGCCCTGTACTCACCTCCACCACTAGCCCCATGGCAGAGGTCCATCCAGGACTTCCTGCCTCTTGCTGCAGGCAGAGACCCAACCCCAGTGTTAGAGGTTGCTCCACAGGAGGCAGTGCACTCAGTGCTGGCCCCTGCTTTCTAGGAGACACGTGCTCTTCCCAGGGCAGTGGTGGTGCTCACACCTAGAAGATCCAATCATGTGGTGGGGGGAGCAACCTGCCCTCCCTCCTGCCCATGTTCATAGCCAGGGCGCATTGCAGGAGGGCTCCCTGTGAGGCAGGGCGCTATTTCCATAGCAGCTTCAGCAGACACCACCATATGCTCCTCACAAGAGGAGACAGTGCCCTGCTGACAGGTGGGGTTGCGGATGCCCCCAGTTCCTGCTGCGAAACCCCCACACAGCTGCAGTAGAGAGCACAGCCTTCATGGGAGCCTTATTGCTGCTGAAGACTTCATTGTAGCAGGGACAGTAAGTCAAGTTTTGAAAGACATTATTCTTAGTGTCTGGAAACCAGCTCACCCTGTCTCAAGTGACGCGGCCTGTCAGCAGCCTGCATGACTGTTCTGCTGGCAACCAGAAGGTGCTGCACCTGCCGAGCCCTGTTGGGATAGTGAGTTTTACAACCTCCTCGGGCCCAACTTCAGGACTGTGGCATTATGTGCCAGGGTTTCTCTGAGTAATTCTTTTTAAGATAAGTCAGGGAGCAATAGCAGTGCTGTGTTTTCTTCAGGTCCCAGTAACTGGAGAGACTTTATCTTTCTTGTGTTTCAGGCAGGTTTGTTAAGGCCTTAGGTATGTCGGTGATGCTGCCCTAATGAGGTGTCTGGAGAAGCTGACTAGGGTCACATGAATGCAGAGGACACTTCTAAACTCTGGGCCTGACCCATGCCCTCCCCTGGGTGGATTCTGAATCCCTGCCACTCACGTTAGGAAGGGAGATGGGCTTCCACAACATCTACTCCAAATGGCCTCCTTCTGCTCTATGACATCATCTTTCTGTGATTTCTTCCCTACAGGAAGTCGGAAGCATCATTGGAAAGGTAATTGAAGGCACCCCCTGTCCCCTAGGGTCTCTGAATGGGAATGGTGAGGACAGGAGCCACCCGATGCTGGGTCACCCAGGAGATGCACAGCACTGTGCATGATGCAGGCCTCGGAGAGAGCTGCCATCGTGCCCCTGTTCATGGCCCCTCCTGGCCTTTGGGTTGCACCACGCTGATACTCCTGTCAGTGTGGAGAAAGTGGAGGCCAGCCTGAGAGTGTGCTGCCTATGGTGGCGGAGAGGCTGAGAGCAAGTGGTCACAGTTTGACCGTTCCCAGGGTCCCTGGTAGCCCCTTCTCCTGTCTCCCTGTACCTCTAATTGCTCACCATACTGACTTTCTCATGAGCACTGTGGTGGGGATGTCTCACAGAGTCCTCATCCAAAATGTCCCTAAGTTGTGGTGAGAACAGAATCTGTGCTAGTTAGTGAGAGGCAGGGGGCTCAGCTGTGTGTGCACATGAGGCAGGCTGTCCCCCCACTCCATGCCCACGCTGCGCTGGCTACTGCCCTCAGAGGCCACAGGCATAGCGGAGGTAGCTTCTGGTCCACATAGCCATGACAAGCCCACACATCCTCCCCGAGGAGCTGCGAGTGACTCTCCTCCTTGTCTAAACCTCTATTCCAGAAAGGAGAAACTGTGAAGAAGATGCGTGAAGAGGTGAGTGGGGTTTGCCCTAAAAATGTCCTGTTTCAGGATGGGGGTGGGGGTGCCAGGCTGGGAGGGGCTTTAGTGGCTTTT